TATGTACTATGTTTATTTCCAATTTGTTTGTACATATATTGGAGGGATTTAAGTGTTTTTACCCTTTGACCCTTTCACCTTTACCTGTAACCCTTTAACTCCCAAGATCTCATTAACAATTCTCCTTACTGTCTGCCATATAGTACTTCTGAAGTTAGTTTGGGGAATTTGGTTATGGATCAAGTAATCATCCCTAATTAAAATTTTTCCTATTCTCATCACTTGTCTGCTTGATATTATATTGATATTGTAAGGAGAAATTCTGTCTTGGTCAATCATGGGAGTTAAAGGGTTAATCCCCTGTTAAAATCCAGTATCCCAGAGTTAGTCTTCACTTTATATTGAAAAAATTTAGTACATACAAGGGTTAGTGACCCTTTTTTGAAATGATTTTTACCCAGTAATTTTTTTTTTCTTGTTTAGACTGACATTATCATTGTTGACAACTGTAAGCTTGCAGTGGCAGTGAATTTTGGGACCAAAGTAGCCTCCTTCCCATTTGCTGCAGCACAGGAGCTTCAAATTAAAGATGAATCAGAAAATTACAGGTACATTTTTAAGTAAATGCACACCATCAAGAAAGATCCAAGGAGTAGGCAGAGTGGCTGAGTGCTTAGGGCACTGGACTTGTATTCAGGTTGTAGTTCTCCACTCTGCTACTCACTGGATTTGTTTTCAGTTGCACTGAGTTCCACTTGTTGGCTTTGCTCTGTTTAAAGCCAATTTGGCTGCCTTTTACTAGTTTGGGTTCTTAAAACTGTGTTGATGTTTATTTACTGTTTATATCCGATTTTGTTTAAATTAATTATTTCTAAAATTTGTAAGCAAATTGAGAATAGAGAAATATTTCTTACGAACTGTTAATAGTGTTACTATTGTTATTGTTAATCGTTATAATGGTTATTATTAATTATTATTATTATCATTATCATCAGAGGTTTTGGTATTTATAAGCGGGTCAATATATGCAATAATTTGAGTATAGTTGGTGACCTTTATTGTAAGATGTTTTTGACATGTTCTAGACCCCAAGCAGTGATTTTTTTGTCAGTTTACTTATGTCAAACTGCTGTTGGAGCTCTCGTTTTTGAGAGTCAAAGGGTCAACTGTAATCTTGAGAGCTTTGATCACAAGTGTACCCTTTTTTGCACTACTTGTCCTATACATAATTCTAGATATCTACTTACTTTTTAAATTCTCAAAATCGTGTATGGAATGTTTTTGTGTTGGGAATAAAAAGCGAACTGCAAATAGTAACACTGTGATCCTTTTTTTTTTCTTTAGCTCCTTGGATTTGACAGGCCCTCTTCTTCTCGGTGGGCTCGTGCAGCTACCAGTTATATTCCCAGTCCTCTACAAACATTTTACTGGCTGCATCAGAAATGTTTACATCGATCACAAGTTCTTGGACCTCAGTCAGCCATTGTACAACAACGGAACCAGTGCTAAATGTAAAGCAATGGGCAACACTTGCGCATATAAACCTTGCGAGCGAGGCACGTGTTTCAACATACTTGGTTCTCGTCGGTGTGACTGTCCCACTGGGTTTGATGGAAGTCGCTGTGAAACAAGTATTGAATTTTTTTCTACGGATATGTAAGTGAACTTTCCTCTCGCATTTACTTTAGTTTGAAGCGTCCGGAAAAGTACGGAATCTTTTGAAATCTTTTCAAATGCTTGGTATCTAAGATGCAGACAACAGTTCATGAGTTGTGCATGATAAAAGACACCTTATGAGCATTTAAATGTATGCGGTTCCTTGTTATGAGAAATATATCGTCGAGTTTGTCTGGTTTAGTGGATCTTCAATTAATAAATGCACGTACTTAATCACCGGTATTTTCGCCTTGAATTATTGATCCATACCAGATTTTGACCCGACAGTTCTGAGAAAAGAGCGAAAAATCAGTTTTACTGTACATCTGACGAAGATCTGCTGGTTTCAAAAACCCTGTGAACAATCCTCAGAGTTGAAAGATTCCCTTCCTTAACGTTAAGGGCCGAGTTCCTCAAATACTGTCTTCTGTTGTGTCAGCAATTTCTGTTTCTTAACCTTTTCACTGTCAAGATATCATTGTTAATTCTCCTTACTGTCTGTCATACAATTCTTATGATGTTAGTTTTGAGAATTTAGTATTGGATCAATTAATAATTCTCTAATTGATATTTTTCTTTATTCTTGTCGCTTGTCCGCTTGTATACAATTCTTACAATATTAGTTCAGAGAATTTAGTATTGGATCAACTAATTATCCCCAAATTGATGTTTTTCTTTATTCTCATTGCTTATCTGGTTGATGTTGTATTAATTTTGTAACGAGAAATGCTGTCTTGGTCACTCATGGGAGTTAAAGGGTTAAATTGGAGAGAAATTATCCAGGACTCCAGTTAGCGTTGATTTTCTGGGAGTCACGTTACCCTAAAATACCCCAACTAAGGAGAACGTCAATTTCTTATCACGAGTTCTTATATGGAAACCATTCATACAAACTTCCTCGTTCATCAGGTGTCAAATACACTGAAAGATTCTCAGGACAGAGTTTTAAGAGGGTGCCTGCCAATTCAAAGGTCAATCTTCCGTGGAGTGTTTCAATGAGATTCCGCACAGCCAAGCCTTCAGGATCTCTGCTTGAAACCTCTTTTTCATCATCATCTTCGGTGTTGGAGGTAAGTTATGTAAATCAAGGTACATGTTTTAGAAGTCATTAAACGTTCTTATACTTACGTGAACTTCGTTGCTATTTCAGTTGGTTGATGGTAAACTGTAATACAACTACAAAGGGCTGTTGGTTCTCCAATTGCCTCACATAGCGGTGAATGATACCCAGTGGCATCACATCGAGATCCTCTGGACAGATTCTCCCTTAACATAACAATGGACTACATCTACAAAGTCTCTGCAGATGCATCCAGTGGAAAAGACCTTGGAGTTTTCAGACAGTTTTTCATGGGAGCGAGGAAGAATTCTATCAAGTCTGCAGTGTATGGTGGATTTAGAGGCTGTATACAAGGTATGCTTTTCTAAACAAATTCCTCTAGTTAAACTGTAGGCTTATGTTTCTGTAGCCTGTTCCAGGTATTAAATTAGTAGCAATGCACTGATTTTCCGAAGCTTGGAGGAAAAGATAGTTGTTTATGAGTATAGGTAATAACACGATTTCGAGTGCAATTTGGTGTTAATACGCTCGAGTAAATTTTTCAGTACCACAAAATTGCACTAGCTGTAGGGCGAGTGAAGTTTGTAGTCTTTGAAAAATTTTAAAGTACTTATTACAGTAAATTGCAAGATAAATCGTGTTATTACTTGTTAATAATTTACATGAAAAAACATCACAGAAAGGCAAGACAGACTAAACGTTAGGTTTGGAGCGTTAGTGTGAGTGCGTATGTGCGTGCGCACGTGCGTGTGCGAGCAGGTGCGTACAAGCGCGTGCATGTGTGTTCGTGCGTGCTTGTTTATGTAGTAAGGGCTGAAACTGTGCTATTGGAGTGAGCATGGCAATAGTGGATGTATGAATATTAGGCCATTTCCGACTCCTTTTTCGTGAAAATAGCTTCGTTTGCAAAATAATTTATTTTCCTATGAGAAGTATCGTATCTGGGCTCGTTTTAAAACAGAGGCTGAGGCCTCTCGGAAATGGTCCAACTCGGCTACCCGTTTATATGAGGAGACACTAACCTCCCTCTTTCCCTATCCGTAGGGGTTTTTGTCGGGAGCACTGAGATCAACATGAACTCTGGAGTCAATCACAAAACAGCATCCATCTGGTTGTGAAGAGAAAATAGGAAGCCACTGCTCATCGAACCCTTGTCCAGACTACAGCACGTGTCAAGAGGAATTCGACTCTTACAAATGCACATGTCCTGTAGGTTACGTTGGTAAACACTGCGTGCGCGTATGTTCTCTTAAGCCGTGCCGACATGGCAAATGTGAAAGTACAAACCATGGAAAGGGATTCCGATGTGTTTGTCCTCAACAGTACACTGGTAAGTGGATTTTTTTTTTTCATTTTTTATCTTATTTTATTTTTTTTTTTTCATTTAAATTTATTCCCTATTGGACATTTGTGGGTACCATTTTAATGCAAACAAAGTTGTTATAAATGAAATAAATGAGTAAATAAATAGCAAATAATACATGGGCGCGCGTAGATATGGAATTTCCCTTCGAGAGTTTAATTCGATAGCTCACGATTTTGGTGTTTGAGGACAGTCTCGAAGGATCTTTTACACTAAGGTCAAATGTGAGAGATTTTTAACTCTCAATAATCTCTACAGCGAAACCATGACGACGTTCGATCAATATGCAAATTCCTAGCTGTGTTAAAAGGCACCACTAATGCACGAGTAATGCAAAGCCGCAAAATCACTCCAGGGCGAGTAAACAAATAAAAAAATCTTAATGATTTGCGGGCGAACTGGTACTGGTGATTAGGCGCGAACTTGCTGTGGGGCGAATTCACCAGTTAACGATATGCAACGCAAATCTCTCACTGTTGAACTTAAGATTCACTTAAATTTAGAGTTTTAATGTTTTGTATAATTTCTTAAGGGAATTTTGTGAGGTCCGCATGGAGATACCCTGTCGAGATAAGTACTTTGGTGCTTCAAGTATAGGCGTCTGTGGTCCGTGTAAATGTGAAGTGGGGAATGAATCTGAGTCCAGTTTGTAACAAGTCTACAGGAGAGTGCTACTGTAATGTAAGTACCAAATGGAAGAAGCTTATCAGATGAACTTTATTTAAACCGTGGAAAATTTCGACCGTCTAAACCAGGGGAAAAAAATCAGAGCAGTTTCTGTTTTTCTTTAAGAAGTCAGGAGAACGAGGGAAACGCTTGCACCTCAAGCAACGATCCCATCATGCCTAGCTTTTAACTCTTTGACTCCTAAGAATGACTAGAATCTAATTTCTCCCTACGATATCATCCCTGAATCAAATATTACGGTCATGAGAATGAAGGAATTGATCACCAGTTAAGGAAGCTCTAGACAGTTTAACAAATTCTCCTTGTCAGGACCTTTGGAAAGGTGAAGAGAACAGTGTAGAGATTATGCATACTGATCGTAGGGTGCATAGGGTTAACTGTACAAACATTGCCTAAACTTTTGCCACTTTCAAAGGCAGACTTCCTCGCGTGAGGAAGACCTGTTGAATCGGGAAACGCGTTCACTGCCTTATCTGTGTAAAAAGTTTTGGTGGCGGAGATAATAGTTTTATGGTGTCTAAATTTCCTATTTCTTGCCAAGCCACAAGAAACCCACAGTCAAGAAGTGAAATTGTGACTAAGAGAGCTGTTTCGAAATGATGACGTGACACAACGTACAAATTTTTAGGACGGGAAAATCCACTTTTAATTCAAGTGTGCAGCTGCGAATGTGCAGAGGAAGTTCACTGGTCAATTTTTTCACCCTGAAGAGTGACTAGCATTTACTTTTTCCTTACAATATCAGCCCTGAATGATACACTAAGGTCATGAGAATAATGGAAATGATTAACAACTACAGAAGCTCTAGATCGTTGAACCAATTCTCCTTGTCGGCACCTTAGGAATTGTATAGAGAACAGTATGGAGAATATGCATACTGATGTTAGGGTGTAAATGGTTAAAGAAAGTTTTGCCAGAAAACGCAACCAAGAGAGTAGTTTACGGATCAAAACCGACTTTTCGATCTGGAATCCCTTGCGCTTATAATTTCTGCCTCTGTCAAGAACAACAACTTAAGTTATTATTTGATATGATCCGCAGGTCCTTCTTCAGTCAGCCAGAACGCTGTTTAGCTCCGATAACAAAGATGTGTGGGACGTCGTTCAACAGGTAATAATTATTGGATCAATATCTGAGCACTTACCCTTCCCCTGACCTAATAACAAGTTAGTGTTGTTTTTTGGCTAAGGGAAGGGTAGTTGCGCAGTTGCGCGGGTACTGACCTTGATCCGAATTATTTTTATTGTTGTTGGTTTTTTTTTTTGCAAGTAATCCACGGTCGATTTATCGCCGGTTTTTATTTCACTATGCTCTCCAATTGGCCTGTGAAACTCGCGTCCTTCCATCCAGTCACTTTACTGCAAACAGAAGCCAATAACGAGGTGTTAACTGTGATCATCACACTTATTCGGAAAGATAGATAGATAGATAGATAGATAGATAGATAGATAGATAGATAGATAGATAGATAGATAGATAGATTGATAGATTGATAGATTGATAGATTGATTGATTGATTGATTGATTGATTGCTTGCTTGCTTGCTTGCTTGCTTGCTTGCTTGCTTGCTTGCTTGCTTGCTTGCTTGCTTGCTTGCTTGCTTGCTTGCTTGCTTGCTTGCTTGCTTGCTTGCTTGCTTGCTTGCTTGCTTGCTTGCTTGCTTGCTTGCTTGCTTGCTTGCTTGCTTGCTTGCTTGCTTGCTTGCTTGATTGCTTGATTGATTGATTGATTGATTGATTGATTGATTGATTGATTGATTGATTGATTGATTGATTGATTGATTGATTCAGATGTCCGTGGTCATCGCAGTAATCTTTAGTTTTAATTTGTTCCGCTTCGGCTCCAGTTTTCAAAAATTCAACGTTCGTTCTGTTGACTTGCACAAACCGTTGACATGCGCAATCCGTAGCAAACGTGGGCGGACGTTAGCTACCAAGACGCAAGTATTAATAGCTGATTGTGATAGTACATGAAAAAGCACACAAAATTTTTCTTTAAATATATTTGAATATTGCTCCTAGAAACAAATGACCAGTGGATTGTGACCTCCTTGTTTATATTGACACGAGCTCGAAGGCACTGGCAGTGAGGTCGAGTTTTGTTGGACCAGTAGATATTTTTATGTACACTTAACCCTACTACTACCTTTCGTTGGCCGTGTAAGCCTCTTATCTTGACTGCTGTTACTTTCAATTTGACAGCACTCCGCAGGGACAGCGGCTCTGTTAAAACAGATGGAAAACTTCAGCGGAAATTTGGCCAGAAGTTTACCACGCTTAAAACGAGACTCGCGCAGATACAGTCGTTGTACCGAAAGCATTTTGCCCCCGTACACGATTATTACTCTCGATATTGGTAAGAAATATATTTTGTTGAGTTTGCTGTGTCTCTTGACATTGTCTCTTTGCAGGCTAAAGAGGCCAAACATTCTGGAGCGAAGGAAGATTTGACCTTAACTAACCGGTCAAATGTAAGTATTGCCACTGGTAAATGGTGGCAAGTAATGCGAAGTAATTATGTTCGCTCATTTTACCTCACAGAACATCAACCAATGCCCTCTTCTTATACCTCACACTACCAATTACGTTCTCCACCACACTGATACCAATCAAATGCTTGTAATTGTGGTAGCAATAAAGAAAACGATTTGCTCAGTTGTCAAGTTTGTTTGTCTAGTATTGACCTTGTGACTTGTGCAAGCAGCAGAGGTCTGACGGAATCAGTGTTGTGTGCTCTAAAACCTGTTGTCTGTAAACAGTGCAATACTCGCTTTGCTAATAACCTATCATTGTTGTCTCATTTAAAGTTTTGCAATGCCACTGAGGTAAGAAGTGTAGCTATCAAGCCAACTTTGATGACAGTACCTAGTTTAAAGGAAGCTTTACGTAGTAGAGGATTAAGCACTGCAGCTACTAAGGAAATTCTAGTTAAGCGCCTTGAAGGTGCATTGGCTGGGGAGGGGTAGTTGAATTACTTTTTAATCAACAGTTTAAATCTCCCAAAATATTTTATATGAAAGTTATTTTTCTTGGTCAAGTTGGTGCACAATAAGGTATACTTGTTATGAGAATGATAACTAGGCTCTCAACAAATTCTGTGTACCAGTAATGTGAGTAATATACCTACTTCATAAGAAGAATATATTTAAATTGGTGCAAAATTTTTTTTAAATTAGCTATGTTTGTCAGAGAGGTTAAACCTGTGCAAATGCAAAAGTACTGTTGTCACTGATACCACTTGGTATGCACTGATATATTACATATAAAACTTTATAAACCCATTTTTTTTCTTACTGACTTGCATTTTAGAGGCAGGGTTTCTGCTCCAATGAATTTATGGAATTTTGTACTTAAAGGTTTGAGCACTTAACCCTTTACATGCTAACAACAGCATGAATATTCTCTATACTGTTCTCAATATATTTTACAAGGTGTTGACAAGGATAATTTGCTGAACAATCAAGAGCTTCATTATTTAATAATTATTTCCCTCATTCTTGTGACCTTATGTTTAATTTGAGGTTAATATTGTAAGAAGAAATCAGATACTAGACATTGTATAACTAATGACCCAGTAATTTGCTTATGTTGACACACTACATTTGTTTTAGTAATGGTTTTTCTTAAATAAAAGGTACAAGAATTTCCAGCTTGATAGTTTTAAGAGTAAGATGAAGTATACACAGATAAATGAAATTTGTATCTAAAAGGAGTAATTCTGTATACAGATAGGATAATTTCATAAATGAATCAGACATCATTGTTAGTCAAATAATATAAAAGCTTTCAGCTGTTATGTTTAGGTAAAACCATACTTCTATTTATTTACTCAAATGCATTACAGTCTACAAGATGCGAAGATTAAATTTTAAAATATCTGCTTGTATTAAAAACATGTTTCCTTCAGAACTTTGTTTCAGATTACATTCGGGGTTGTCATTCTTATGATGTATGAAGTTTCGTGACAAGGTCTAACAAAACATTAGCAACTCCTCATGTTAATAAAGTGTCAAGCTAGATAGTGTTCAAATTCAGTAGCTTTTGCAAATTTGAGTCCTTTGCAAATCCTTCTCGATCATAGCGCTGCACGTTTAATGCGGTTACTGCCCTTCGTTGTTTTGTTGAGTAAACCATTTGAAGCGGCGTAGTTTGTGTTACAACAACAATTGACTTGCCGCTATAACTTTGAAGCACGCGACCATCCTCGGGGATTTTCTCGAAGTGCCGCTTCTTGAGAAAATTCTCTCCTTTAAATCTCGCGGGAGACCAAATTTTTTTGCAGTGTCGAGCCTTTGGAAAGTTAGCGTTATTCTCTCACCATTCTTGGTTGTGTCCGCGCTTCCCCCGTAGCCTTGTACTAAAACCCAGATATGTTTAAAGATTTGAAATGGCATAAAGAGAGTGATGGGCGCCATAAGACCGGTCATTCTAGAGCGAGCGAGCTTCGCATTAATAGAGAGTTCGATCTCCTTGAGGAAGCCATCCAACAGGGGACTTACAAGCTCCAACACGGGATCAAGGTCTCTCATCCCGTAATTCGGCTTATTTTCTGCGAAACGAACCCTCCTCAACCATTCTTTCTCCTTAGAGAACTTCATCTCTACGTAGTTGGTATTCCAAATCCGGTCTCCTCTCTCTGTTCCATCCTCCATGCCGAAAGCCCTTAACCAGATTTTGTTTGATGTGCTCGCGCTGTCATTATTAGCCGCCATTTATGTTTAGCCTTTACTTTTCGTGCCAACTGCCGCTGACGATTTCTGCGCCAGCGCGCATCAGAGTTGCGGGAGAAAAACCCTTGGCAACCGACCATCGTGATTTCACCGGTTGGATAAAATCACTCTTCATATTCACCTACAATATCTTGTTGAGAAATAAACCATGACAAAGCTTTGACTTAGCATTAGCATGAATAATAATTATTGCTCGATCAATTGTCTTCTTTAGTGATGCATGTTAATAATGACAAGAAAGTAATGCTTGTTAATATTGGCGTCTGTTAAAAATTTGATTAAATCTGAATTACTTAGGTTTGGTTTTTCTTTTCTTTTCTTTTCTCATATAAGCATTCCACTTGTTGGGCAGATGTCTATCTTGAATGAGATCCTTTTGGAATGGCTTCTTTAGCACTCAACCCTTCAATTATTCTGTTACGGTATTTTATCTGACGGTGCATAGTACCCGTAGGCCTCCACTTAGATGTTCAATTTGTTTGTCAAGCAAAGATAAATCAATAGTTTGCCGTCCATATATGCACATGCATTTGTATATACAGCGACTCCAGAGAAAATTTCTCATTGCCAGAAAACATTTTAACGCTAAATTGACTTAAATTCCAAGGGTGTGAGTAATATGCAGTCCCTTCTCAACAATCAGAACATCACCGTGGTGAAACATAACACCAAAACTTGCAGACTGATAAATATTTTATAGGGAAGGCTACATTCTCTTTTCCGGGGAAAAATCTTCCCATGCTCAGTGATGTTTTTTCGAATAATCCCCAGGCTTTGCGCAGGGTATTCTTCAATGTACCGGCTAACATTATTAACTTTACCTGAGGGTAACCTTCCGACACCTACCCTCGACCCAAGATTCTTTTACGTGAATAAAGGGTGCAATTCCGGCGGTCTAACGTACAAATGCAGTATATCAATTCATCCCTATTTCTATATTTTGAGCACATTCGAAAATCAAAACAATTTAACAGCTCGTACCCTGCATATGCAATACATCCCAACTTGACATATCCAATATTAACAGCTATTTTTCATTGAATGTGGGAATTCTCGAAAAACGAAATAAATTCTGCCGATTTATCCAGCAAGTAGAATATATCCTAACATGCTAAATCCAATCTTCACCCCAATTTTCCATTTTCTCAATCAACTCTAGAAACACGGGGTAAATTGTGACAATTCATCCTACGAGTGGATAATATCATAATTTTTCCATATCCAATCTTTACCCCTCCCCCGATTTGTTTAATTAACTCTAGAAAAACGGGGTAAATCGTGACAATTCTTTCCACAATTAGTAAAAATCATGACTTGCAATGTCCAATCTTTACCCTGATTTTCCATTTGTTCAACGAATTTTAGAAAAACGGGATAAGTTCCGTCAATTCATCACGCAAGTGCGATATAACCTAAGTTGTCATGTCAAATCTTTACCCCGATTTTCCTTTGTTTTAATGAATTAGTTATAGAAAAACTGGGTAAACTCTGGGAATCCATTACACCCTTAGCTCCCGTATGCCATCTTTACTCCGAGTTTCCAATTATGCCATAACAAATCTTTTCCCTTATTTTCCATTCTTTTTTTCGTTTATTAGAGACAAATAAGGTAAAGTCTGACAATAAATCCCATACGTGCGATACATCCTAGCTTTTCATAATCAATCTTCATTCCGATTTTCCGTTTGTTGAGTCAATTCTGGAAAAACGGGTTAAAATCTGAGTATTCATCTTAAAAGTGGAATACATCCTAACTTGTCGTATTCAATCTTTGTCCAGGTTTTTTGCATTTTTTTTTCTGTAAAAATGGGATAAAATCGGACAATTTATCCTACAAGTGAAACATATCCCAATTTGTTATAAGTAATCTTTACCCGATTTTCCATTATTTAAAGAGAACTCTAGAAAAACAATTCATCTCATAAAAAGAATATATTCCAACATGCAAAATGAATTTTTCAATAAATTCTGACAACGGGCTAAATTGTATTCATTCATCTTAAAAATTGGAATAAGTTATGACTCGGACATCCCTGATTTTCTGTTTTTTTCTAATTAATTCCAGAAAAACGGGGTAAATTCTGAGAATTCATCCCATAAGTGGAATACATTCTAAGTTTCCATTTCCAGTCTTCAACTCGATCTTCAATTTTTATTTCAATGAATTCAAGAAAACCGGGGTAAGTTATGAGAATTCATACCGTAAGTGGAATATATCCTTAGTTGTCATATCCAGTCTTTACCCCGATTTTCCATTTTTTAATGAATTAATTCCAGAAAAACAGGGTAAACTCCGAGAATTTATGCTACAAGTCGATAATAACCGTAGTTCCCATATGCCATCTTTACCCAGATTTTCCATTTTTTTTTCAATAAATTCTAGCAAAACGGGGCAAATTCTGAGAATTCACGCTACAAGTGGATAATACCCTAAGTTCCCATATGCCATCTTTACCCCGATTTTCCATTTCTTTTTTCAGCGGTGAATTCTACGATTAGCGCTAATCGTTAGCCCCCCAAAATAAAGCAATACGCAATAACTAAATATGTATTTAAGCGTTTTTTATAAAGCCCGCTTTCAGTTGTTATTAACTTCCATGGAAATTCAAAATTTACGCACACCAACGTGCTATATAATATACTGATCCCCGTTCATTGTAATCATTCCATTAAGAAGTCTCAATTAGAGACGAAACGCGTCGGAAATAAACAAGGAGCTTACAACTACAAGAACTGTTTTTTTCTGTTTTCTTTGTTAAATATGAAAAAAAAAAAAAATGACGAAATTTACAAATTTTATAAAAGCATATTTTCTTGGTGAATTCTAGAAAAGAGAGGTAAATTCTGAGAATTCGTCCCTCAGTTGGAATAGATCCTAGATTGCCAAATCCAATCTTTAACGGCGATTTTCCATTTTTTTTTCGA